GCTTCATCAGCTTCTTTTGGGGTCCATAGGTGATATTAGGGGTCCTAGAGACCCCTAATATCTCCATAAAGAGGACCTGTCAGTGTGCCTTTGCTATTATATAGGGGGTTGTTATATAATAGCAATAACAATAAGTGCAAAAAAAATATAAATAAAAAAAAAAGAAAAGTAACACATAAAAAAATAAAATAAAAGTCACATAAAAAAAAGGGGAAAAAACCCCCCCAAAATGTTTAACTCCCCCACCCCCACGTTTACGCGCCTATAAACGTAAATACGCGTCCGGTGCCCCAGCGAGTTACCACTTTCCTCCCTGTTCACATAGGAAAGGACTAGCACCTGTTCACTAGAGCTGCAACAATTATTAGATTAAAGTTGGCTAAAATTCAAATTTCCCGCCCGCCGCTCACGCCACGTCGGTTAAGCCGTTTGCGCCACGCCCCACCGCACACACCGGTAAACCCGCTTACGCTACGCCCACCGCACACATTGAGGACATGCGTCTGGTCCTCTCCTCCCGGTGAGCTTCCCGACTCGCCGCTGCCCGCCGACAACACTGTCATTCAAAGTAAGTCGAGATCGGCCGGGAGCTTTTTAATGTTTCCTGTTGTGTTTTTTTTTTTTTAAGCGGCACACTGCAGAACATTAGCAGCTATAGAGGAACAACAAATCCCAGCAATAATATATTAAACACCCGGTATAATGTACTATTGCTGGGATTTGTTGTTCCTCTATAACTGGTCAGTGGTAGTCTGTATTGTGCAGTATAATCATTATACAGTGCAATGGAGAATACCACCAGCTATAGAGGACTACAAATCCCAGCAATAATACATTATATACAACGCAATGCAGAATACCAGCAGTTACAGAGGACTACAAATCCCAGCAATAGTACATTATAGCATAACGTTGTACTATTGCTGGCATTTGTTGTATTCCTATATAGCTGTTGGTATTCTGGATTTCGCCATATAATCATTCTACAGCGCACTGCAGAATACCACCAGCTATAGAGGACTACAAATCGCAGCAATAATACATTATATACAGCGCAATGCAGAATAACGCCAGCTACAGAGGACTACAAATCCCAGCAATAGTACATTATAGTATAATGTACTATTGCTGCATTCCTCTATAGCTGCTGGTATACTGCACCGCGCCGCTGTATAATGTATTATATTGCACACCACTTTTTTTTTTTTACTTCCACCGCGCCAAGCTTGCTCTCGTGATGGACTACAATCTCAATAGAAACTAGTAGTCCATCACTGGAGCCTTTTTTTTTTATCCGATTAACCGAACGTAATAATCGGCTAACTAATCGATTATGAAAATAATCGTTAGCTGCAGCCCTAGCCAACATTACAGTTCTAGTAAGATATGAGAAGAAAAATCTCCCAAGGTACACAGCAAAGATCGAGAAAAACAGCCTTTAAAGCATTCTTTACTCTGTCCAAAAACTTCTGTCAACAGAAACACTTTTTAAAATGAGTACAATTCTAAATTATAACTAAATTGTCCAGCAAAGATTCACTGAAACGATGTATTAAGGAAACATGCAGAGGCTGCCATTGCTGATCGCTTCTCCTGAAAAAGCTAGCGGACTGATTTTCATGCTGATCCTTACTTCAAAAAGGTTGAGTCCCCACGGTGCCCATCCTGTATCCTCTTGCTTGAATAGTTTGCATCCCCACGGTGCCCATCCTGCATCCTCTTGCTTGAATAGTTTGCATCCCCACGGTGCCCATCCTGCATCCTCTTGCTTGAATAGTTTGCATCCCCACGGTGCCCATCCTGCATCCTCTTTAATAGGTTGAGTCCCCATGGTACCCATCCTGCAGCCTTTGCCACATGCAGCAAATTTGTACTTGTTGTGTGGCCCTTGGAGCCCACCAGTCTGTAGTGAGAGCATGGATTTGTAAAAGGGGTAACAGCAGTGATCTCTACTATTCTCATACAACACATTCCCATTCTCCTATTGTCTTCTGCAGCGTGTCCATATTTTCCTCTAGTAAGTCTTAAGTTCACTCAAGCGTTATATACTGTATACCTAACAAAGGTGTTCACCGATTGGGAAGCACCACACCCTTGTATCAAGAATATACCATAAGAAGCTATTATAGGGCTTTTTGAGATGCACACAATCGAATTATATCTCAAAAATTAATACATAAATCTTTATTATATTCATTAAAAAGTCAGTGTGTCACCACATATAACATCAGTTAAAATGGCAGAATCAGTAATATCTCACTATAAAGAGTAACATGCCTTAGGCCAGGTTCACAGCCATTTTCCGGAGCAGATCTGGAACACGGTCCATTGCGCTTTGCCGCGTTTTCCAGAGTGGGTATTTTTCTTCTTCCGGAACGGTTTAAACAGAGCTCAGAATTACCATAGGGATACATTGGGATGCTTTTTGCTCCGGGAACAAACTGTTCCGGTCATTATCTGGACACGGTGTGAACAAACCTATATAGAGGACACCAATCAAAAGCTGGTCACATCCAAAAGCAATCGGAGCTAGTATTTATAATAATACATTTGCAATCTAATGTTATACAGCCATATACACTTATAGTCATATCAAACTATAACAGAAGAGAATGCTTTAAAAATGGCGTCCTTCTCTTCAATGACGCCAGCTATCCGTATATATAACGGTTTGATATGACTATAAGTGTATATGGCTGTATAACATTAGATTGAGAATGCATTGTTATAAATACTAGATCTGATTGCTTCCGGATGTGAACAGCTTTTGATTGGTGACCTCTTTAAGGCATGTTACTCTTTATAGTGAGCTTTTACTGCTTCTGCTAATTTAACTGATGTTATATGGTGACGCACTAACTTTCTAATGAAAATAATAAAAGTGTAAAGATTTTATATATTCATTTTTGGGATATAACTTATTCGATCGTGTGCGCTTCAAAAGTCCAATAATAGCTTCTTATGGTATATTATATACTGTATAGTAAACAGGCCCTTTGGTAATGTCAGGGGGCTGTAGTTGAGGCCTCCTGTACCCCAAGTTCACAACCTCTGCTTTAGGTCACTGACCTGGAAAGAATGCACAAATACTAGTATCGGTGCCAATACAGAGTACCTGGGCGAGTACTCTCCTAAATGCTCCCGATACTGGAACCTTTGGTATCAGGAAGCCGGGTGGCGAGTCATTACATGCCGCCCGACTTCCTGATTGGCCGGGAAGCCAGCTCCATCATCACCGAGTATGGATCTGCCTTCCTGGCTAATCAGGAAGCCGGAGGGCAGGTAATGACTCACCCCCTGGCTTCATGATTGGCGGGGAAACCATACTGAATGACCAGGGAGCATGGAGCTGGCTTCCCGGCCAATCAGGAACCCAGGCAGCGTGTAATGACTTCACGCCCAGCTTCCCGATTGGTCGGGAACCTGGCCAATCAGGAAGCCAGATGGGAGGTAATTACACGCCACCCGGCTTCCTGACTGGCTGGGAAGCCAGTTCCATGCTTCATCACCTGGTGATGAGGGAGCAAGGAGACAGCTTACCGGCTAATCGGGAAGCTGGGCAGCGAGTCATTACACGTCGTCCAGCTTCCTTAATGGGACTTTCGGTATCTGTATTCGCTATCAGCAAGTACAGAGAAAAAAAAATATCGGTACTCAATACTGAAAACCTGGTATCGGTGCATCCCTAGCACAAACCAAGAGTTTGCATATTTCTGACTTGGCAGGTTTAATTTATAGTATATCGAAAGCCAAAACATTTTACATTTGGACAGGGATGTAGGGAATGGTTAACACCTGTCTGGAAAAATAAACTCATTGGGGAAATTTCCCTTCATTTCCTGCCCACAAAAAAAAATACGGTGTATTAGGGAAGCATCCTCTTAGTTGTCAAGGGAACAAATGTTCCCATTGTAAGATTTCCCCTCTATTTCTGCAACAACTCAAAATTGTAGATTTTTCCTCCTCACTTTCAGTCTTGGTGACAGTGGTCACCAGAACACAGAAGGTGAAACTCCCTACTGGGGACAGACAAAAACCTGAGGTCCTAGCCCTTCCCCATAAAAAAAAAAAAGTTTTGGCTTTATATACAATTCAAAGAGACACTGCCACCTCATCCATGCAGACCAGGGTGACATTGTCTTTAGAAAGGGCATCCCCTGACCCCCATTGATTCACCTTACCTGAGCTCCCTCACAGCACCTTCTCCTCCTCAGCTAGTGAATATGTACAATGTGACCTGCTCCTCTTTAAGGGTGCCCGGGCCTAAGAACCAATCGCTAGGCCTGTGCACTGACACAAGACTGATGTGGCAATATCATTACTCCCCCGAGTCGCCTATAACAGCCGACCTCAGCACCGACTAGGAAGAAGGGCGGTTAAGAGGTGTATATATGGGGGTCAGGGGAATGCCCTTGCCATGTGAAAACCTTATACATCTCGATGAAATCTCCACCGCCATGCGCACAGCTGGAGCCCCGAATATAACTGAACAGTTTGCGAAGAGTGAAGAAATACACAGGACGACCATATGTGGTTTTTTTTTTTTCAAAGTTCATTATTCACTCCTTTTCAAATGATAAAAAAAATACAAATGCCTTTAACACAATAATGTGCAATGAAACTCAGACAGAAAAAACATTGCGGCCTTTTCAGCCTCTGGGTTACGCAAATAAATCTTAAATTTCATTTTTTTTTTTAAACAGCTGAAAATCCAGTAAAACATTAATATTCTACAATAAAATAACAAAGTCACTTGTCCTCAATGGAGGGAGAAAAAAAACCAAAAAGGTAGTTAGAGCCTAGGATACAGATATCGCATTAGAGATCCATGCAGACCAGAACAGATCATCATACACTGAAATAATATAGAACAGACTGAAAAAGGGGAAAATAAAGTAGAATTAAAAAATAAAACTGTAGTACGTGCGAGTCAGTCATGTGGCTGGCTGCACCGGTAACACGGCATGGAATGCAAGCATCAGAAAGGGTTTTTTTTTTTCCAGAGAAACAACTTTCAAATGGACAATTACTAGCTAAAAGGGATTCTATTCACGGTATGGATTGCTGTTCAGACACATTAAAATTATTAACATAGTACTTGTCTCGGTGCTAACAAACCATTTCTCCACATCAGACCCAGCACAAGTGTCTGCATTTATTTGGATAACAAAGATGGTGAGATAATCCAACATGGTTTGAGATCTTTCAGTACTTGTGCAAGACAAAAACAAAGTGTCATATTCCTGGTGACTGGACGCTAGAGAATCTCATTGGGTTCCTCCATATCGACTGGGCTGGTCATAGCTGCCACTTCCATAATTCCACTGGCCTTGACCTTGACTTGGACTAGGACTAGGATTCTGGCCCTGTCCTTGGCTCGCATACTGACTCAACTGCTGGCCTCCTCCATACTAGAAGACAAACAAAAAAAGTAAAAAGATTTAATAATGAAAAAAACACAAGATGACAACAGTATAACTAACCAGCAGAAGCTTTATTCAAAAGGAAAAGTTAACATTTAGTGCCGGTTCACACCACAAAGTCCGCGTTCTAGTGCATTCAGCCTCTGGAGCGCAAGTCGGCGGGAGGGGGTGTGGCAGTGCATTGAAGTCAATAGCACCACAGCCACGCCCCCCTGCCCGGAACTCAGGCACATTAGTGCAAACACTATTTTTGCAGATGACACAAGACCGTAAAGCAGACACTAGTGTTCTGGGCGATCGCACTGCGGGGGGGGGGCATGGCTGCGGTGTCATTGACTTCAATGCACCGCCACGCCCCCTTCCGCCCCTGAATGCAGGGAGCTGGCCGGCTTGCGTTCCAGAGGTCGAACGCACTGGAACGTGGACTTTGTGGCATGAACCGGCCCTTAGGGCTCCATTTATAATAAAGCAGATATTGCTAAACACTGCAATCTTTGTCTGCATAATGGCCGGCGTTTTTGGCCTTTTTATAAAATCCAGGTTTGCGTTTGGTGCCCTATGTGGAGGATAGCCAGTTAAGAGCACATTTTTAAAACTCATTGCTGTGCTTTTTTTTTTTAAAGCAACAGTACAGCCATGGTAAGGCCATAGAGCCGCGGCATTATGAATTCCCTCCTTTATGTACTTACCCATTTTAAATGTAAAGAGGCATAGAAAAGGCTTTCACTTAAAGCTCAAATCCAGAATAAAGCAATCATCTACAGTAATACCTTGGTTTACAAGTAACTTGGTTTGAGAGCGTTTTGCAAGACAAGCAAACATTTCTGAAAACTTTTGCCTTGATATACAAGCAATGTCTTGCAATAAGAGCAAAATTTTGTAGAAAAGCACCACCAAATAAGGCTGTAGCAGTGCGAGCGATGAGTCTGTTTAACGACAATGCAATGTCACATTCGATAGATTCCTTGTTACGGTTTCACGAAATGAAAAAGATTCCATTGAGCCAAGAGATAGCAGTGATTCCGTTAGTGATAGTGAAAGTCATCCTACACAATAATCCTCCTCTCTCTCGTCCCGCTCACAGCAGCCACGAAGGTACCGCTAATTGGTTTATTTGTCTTTATATTTTGTACAGTATTATATTACAGTACAGTATTGTAATTATTTTATATGAATATTTTTGGGTTGTGGAACGAATCATCTGAATTTCCATTATTTCCTATGCGGAAATTCGCTTTGATATACAAGCGCTTTGGATTACAAGCATGCTTCCGGAACGAATTATGCTCTTAAACCAAGGTATTACTGTATATACAAGAGCATCAGTGGTATTTATTACATACGTTGTAACTTGTCATTTTAAGACTAAATATGCAATATGCTTATTATAATGTAACTGCGTTTTATTCCTGGTAACGACACCTTAAAAGCCCATTCACACCAAGACGGTTGCGGACCGCGCTGATCTCAAAAGGGAGGTTTTGGGAGTTTCACCACTGAAACGCAATAAAAAACGCCCAAAACCGTGCGGTTCCATTGAAACCTGTAAGGAAACCGCACCAATCAGCGTGGCAAAAAAAGTGCAGGGAGCAGTTCGGGTGGGGGGTTCGGATGGCGCAGATGCATGAACGGTCCCCATTGCAATGCATGTGATCGTTCATGTTGGCGGATCTGTGCGGCCAAACCGCCCTGGTCTAAAAGCCTAATATTGGGTGTCTTGTTGTTGGAATTGCACCGGATCAACTAATGTTTTGTGTCCTGTTCACGCTATAGCACTGGTGTGATGTGCGGTGCAGAAAATGCAGTCATGCCGCATACGCACGGGACAGCAGAGCAGCCCACCACTCTGCTTTGCAGAGACCTGAATGGATTGTACACTTTGTATACAAACAATAAAGTTCTAAAAAAAAGTAAACGTTGCCCTGCGTTGTTACAATGCAAGGCACCACAGGTCGCTATCGATACTAAGCGGACACTAGCTGCAGCAGCTACTGTATACGAACCCTACAACTGATTCTAGAACAAGCCAAACGCAGCTTCAAAAATTCCAAATATATAACCCTCACTGGCTTTAATTTCTGTTCAAGGATTGGCTCCTTCCTAGCTGTACGGCTGGAGAACAATAATAAAAGCACTGATCAAGGGGGAGGATTTGGGAAACATGCTCTGTAAATGTAATAGGAGATGGGGGGGGGAGGAGGAGGAGGGAGGCATGGCTACTCTTTGTGGGCTATCAATAGAGGAAACTGCAAGTGATGTGAAATACAAAGCCTTGGAATTTACTGGTTTTATTTAACTGAACTAAATGAAGAGAAAAGCTGGTTAATTACTTGGGCAACTGCTCCAGTTTTGATAAATCCCCCATGTGTTTGCCCTTCAGCATGGTTGAACTTTGAAGGCTTTAGGCCATTTGGGTTCCATTTAAAGCGAGCTAGGTAAAATGAGATGGTATTGAGGAGTGGTACTCACCGTCTGTTGATACGGCTGACTGTAGCTTCCCTGGTTATAACTGGAATTAGAGGATGTGGAACTCTGTGGTGGAGGCTGGCTGTAGCCTTGGTTGTAACTTTGTGAACCACCGCCGTAGCTTTGGGTGCTGCTGCTGTTATAACTCTGACCACCGTAGCCACTCCCGCTGGTTTGGTTGTAGCTACTTCCACCACCCTGGCTGTAGCCACCACTGCTGCCCTGGTTGTAGCCACCTGCGCTTCCAGGGCTTTGACTGTAGCTTCCTCCACCTCCCTGGCTGTAGCTACTGCTGCTTCCACTTCCCTGTCCATAGCTTCCTCCGCTGCTTTGATCGTAGCTCCCAGTGCTTCCGCCACCATAACCATAGCCAGCACTGCTTCCACCCCCTTGATTGTAGCTGCTGCTACCCTGGTTATATCCGCCACCGCTTCCTCCTCCCTGACTGTATCCACCACCGCTTCCTCCTCCCTGTCCGTAACCGCCACCCTGGCTGTATCCACTTCCACCACTTTGGCCATAGCCGCCGAAGCCTGACTGCTGAAAAACAAGAGGTAGCAATGAATAAAAGACAGCTGTTACCCGATACAGTTGGGGCAAATGTACACATATCAGTCAAGCAATCACTTACTTGGCCATAGCTGCTTGGTGCATTCTGTGACAGGCTTGAGGAGTTCCCACCGCTTCCATAAATGCCACCCTGGGTTCCTCCTGGACTGTAGCTGGGCTGCTGGCTGTTCTGGCCAAAGCCTCCTCTATGTTCAGAGCCATTATCCTGAGAGCCTCCTGACCAACGACTTTCACCTCGGCCAAATCCTACAAAACCAAATACATGTAGAATTAGAAAGGCATGCCAACCTAATGCTATTCTTGTTTAAAGTGAATCTATGTTCTACTCCCACTCACTTCCAAACTCCTAGAACTCCTTATCTACAGCTGCCTGAGCCGCCACCTCGCTGATAACAACCTCCATTACAGTCCGGCTTTGGCCCCCTACACTCCACTGAAACCGCCCTCCTAAAACTCACTAATGACTTTCTAACAGCTAAAAACAATGGCCACTATTCCCTACTCTTGCTATTAGACCTCTCTGCTGCTTTTGACACTGTTGACCACCTGCTCCTCCTCAAAAAACTCCACTTGCTTGGCCTACAAGACTCTGCTCTCCCATGGTTCTCCTCCTACCTAAGTGCTCCTTTAGTGTCACCTACAAATCTAACTCCTCCCCTCCTCTTCCTCTTCCTGTAGGGTTCCCCCAAGGCTCTGTCCTTGGACCCCTCCTCTTCTCTATCTACACCTCCTCCCTTGGTCAACTAATAACCTCACATGGCTTCCAATACCATCTCTATGCCGATGACACTCAAATCTATCTTTCCACTCCACAACTCACCCCTTCTGTGTCCTCTCGTGTCACTAATCTAATAACTGACATATCCGTCTGGATGTCACAACACTTCTTAAAACTCAACGTTTCTAAAACTGAGCTCATGATGGATTTCCTCCACCCCGTGCACCTTCCCCACGTGCTCCTTCCCCAAACTTTTCCCTTGAGATTGTTAACACAACTATACAGCCCTCCCCCCATGCCCCGGTCTTAGGTGTCATCCTTGACTCGGACCTCACCTTTCTTCCCCACGTCCAATCACTATCCAAATCTTGCCGCCTTCACCTTCGCAATATCTCCAAAATACGCCCCTTCCTCACCAAAGAAACCGCAAAATTACTCATCCACTCGCTTGTTATCTCTCGTCTTGACTATTGTAACTCCCTCCTCATTGGCCTTCTACTACTACACAGGATATCCCCCTTCAGTCCATCATGAATGCAGCTGCTAGACTCATTCACCAATCCAACCGCTCAGTGTCTGCAACCCGCCTCTGTCAATCCCTGCACTGGCTTCCACTCGCCCAACGGATAAAATTCTAAATATTAACAGTCACTTACAAAGCCATCCACAACTCTGCCCCCCGGCTATATCTCAAAATATCACCCTAACAGTCCCTTCCGCTCTTCCAAAGACCTCCTACTTTCCAACTCCCTCATCAACTCCTCCCATGCTCGCCTCAGGACTTCACTAGAGCCTCTCCCATCCTATGGAACTCTCTACCCCAACCTGTCCGTCTATCTCCCACTCTGACTGCCTCTAGGCGATCCCCAAAGACTCATCTCTTCAGGGAAGCCTATCCCACCTCAACCTAACCGCTCAACCATCACGTTCTCAAACAATTCATCCCCACGCAGCTCCCTCCTCATGTATCACTTCCCCCACCCTTTAGATTGTAAGCCCTCAGGGGCAGGGCAGGAGATGGGGGGGGGAGGAGGAGGAGGGAGGCATGGCTACTCTTTGTGGGCTATCAATAGAGGAAACTGCAAGTGATGTGAAATACAAAGCCTTGGAATTTACTGGTTTTATTTAACTGAACTAAATGAAGAGAAAAGCTGGTTAATTACTTGGGCAACTGCTCCAGTTTTGATAAATCCCCCATGTGTTTGCCCTTCAGCATGGTTGAACTTTGAAGGCTTTAGGCCATTTGGGTTCCATTTAAAGCGAGCTAGGTAAAATGAGATGGTATTGAGGAGTGGTACTCACCGTCTGTTGATACGGCTGACTGTAGCTTCCCTGGTTATAACTGGAATTAGAGGATGTGGAACTCTGTGGTGGAGGCTGGCTGTAGCCTTGGTTGTAACTTTGTGAACCACCGCCGTAGCTTTGGGTGCTGCTGCTGTTATAACTCTGACCACCGTAGCCACTCCCGCTGGTTTGGTTGTAGCTACTTCCACCACCCTGGCTGTAGCCACCACTGCTGCCCTGGTTGTAGCCACCTGCGCTTCCAGGGCTTTGACTGTAGCTTCCTCCACCTCCCTGGCTGTAGCTACTGCTGCTTCCACTTCCCTGTCCATAGCTTCCTCCGCTGCTTTGATCGTAGCTCCCAGTGCTTCCGCCACCATAACCATAGCCAGCACTGCTTCCACCCCCTTGATTGTAGCTGCTGCTACCCTGGTTATATCCGCCACCGCTTCCTCCTCCCTGACTGTATCCACCACCGCTTCCTCCTCCCTGTCCGTAACCGCCACCCTGGCTGTATCCACTTCCACCACTTTGGCCATAGCCGCCGAAGCCTGACTGCTGAAAAACAAGAGGTAGCAATGAATAAAAGACAGCTGTTACCCGATACAGTTGGGGCAAATGTACACATATCAGTCAAGCAATCACTTACTTGGCCATAGCTGCTTGGTGCATTCTGTGACAGGCTTGAGGAGTTCCCACCGCTTCCATAAATGCCACCCTGGGTTCCTCCTGGACTGTAGCTGGGCTGCTGGCTGTTCTGGCCAAAGCCTCCTCTATGTTCAGAGCCATTATCCTGAGAGCCTCCTGACCAACGACTTTCACCTCGGCCAAATCCTACAAAACCAAATACATGTAGAATTAGAAAGGCATGCCAACCTAATGCTATTCTTGTTTAAAGTGAATCTATGTTCTACTCCCACTCACTTCCAAACTCCTAGAACTCCTTATCTACAGCTGCCTGAGCCGCCACCTCGCTGATAACAACCTCCATTACAGTCCGGCTTTGGCCCCCTACACTCCACTGAAACCGCCCTCCTAAAACTCACTAATGACTTTCTAACAGCTAAAAACAATGGCCACTATTCCCTACTCTTGCTATTAGACCTCTCTGCTGCTTTTGACACTGTTGACCACCTGCTCCTCCTCAAAAAACTCCACTTGCTTGGCCTACAAGACTCTGCTCTCCCATGGTTCTCCTCCTACCTAAGTGCTCCTTTAGTGTCACCTACAAATCTAACTCCTCCCCTCCTCTTCCTCTTCCTGTAGGGTTCCCCCAAGGCTCTGTCCTTGGACCCCTCCTCTTCTCTATCTACACCTCCTCCCTTGGTCAACTAATAACCTCACATGGCTTCCAATACCATCTCTATGCCGATGACACTCAAATCTATCTTTCCACTCCACAACTCACCCCTTCTGTGTCCTCTCGTGTCACTAATCTAATAACTGACATATCCGTCTGGATGTCACAACACTTCTTAAAACTCAACGTTTCTAAAACTGAGCTCATGATGGATTTCCTCCACCCCGTGCACCTTCCCCAAACTTTTCCCTTGAGATTGTTAACACAACTATACAGCCCTCCCCCCATGCCACGGTCTTAGGTGTCATCCTTGACTCGGACCTCACCTTTCTTCCCCACGTCCAATCACTATCCAAATCTTGCCGCCTTCACCTTCGCAATATCTCCAAAATACGCCCCTTCCTCACCAAAGAAACCGCAAAATTACTCATCCACTCGCTTGTTATCTCTCGTCTTGACTATTGTAACTCCCTCCTCATTGGCCTTCTACTACTACACAGGATATCCCCCTTCAGTCCATCATGAATGCAGCTGCTAGACTCATTCACCAATCCAACCGCTCAGTGTCTGCAACCCGCCTCTGTCAATCCCTGCACTGGCTTCCACTCGCCCAACGGATAAAATTCTAAATATTAACAGTCACTTACAAAGCCATCCACAACTCTGCCCCCCGGCTATATCTCAAAATATCACCCTAACAGTCCCTTCCGCTCTTCCAAAGACCTCCTACTTTCCAACTCCCTCATCAACTCCTCCCATGCTCGCCTCAGGACTTCACTAGAGCCTCTCCCATCCTATGGAACTCTCTACCCCAACCTGTCCGTCTATCTCCCACTCTGACTGCCTCTAGGCGATCCCCAAAGACTCATCTCTTCAGGGAAGCCTATCCCACCTCAACCTAACCGCTCAACCATCACGTTCTCAAACAATTCATCCCCACGCAGCTCCCTCCTCATGTATCACTTCCCCCACCCTTTAGATTGTAAGCCCTCAGGGGCAGGGCTCTCCTTACCATCCTGTCTTGAATTGTATTGTAATATTTTCCTTATATTGTAAAGCGCTGCGCAAACTGTTGGGGCTATATAAATCCTGTATAATAATAATATTCACTAAATCGCTGGGAGGGCGAGACATATGGACAATTCTATTTTAAACAATGTACCTGGTCATAACCACATAATATAAAATAAAGAATGCCAAGTAAGGAAACTGTACTAACCACGGCCTCGCTCTCCAGCACCTCTGAACCCAGGTCCGCCACTTCCACCTCTACCCAAAAACCCTCCTCTGTTCCCTCCAGGAGGGCCACGGTTGTCGAAACGTTGAAATTCTTCTCGGCCTCCATCTCCTCGGCCCCCGTCTCCTCTTCCTCCTCCACCGCCACCGCCACCACCAGGAGGTCCTCCACCACGGCCCCTGAACTTCTTTTCTGGAGGCGGGCCAGCTTTCTTTCCCTCGATGTTGTACTGACGCACTAATTGTTCAGCCTCCTCCTTCTGTACCTCAATGTAGATCACCTCATTGAGAAAATCACCAGCTTCTGGCAAGCTAAAATTAGCTGGAAAACAAAGACGGGCCTTAATCAGTGCATCTTAAAACTGGATGATATATCAAGAGTTGAAGTTAAGATAATATAACCCCTGAAATATTGCTGGCCAATGGGAGAATGAGCTCTGTGTGCTCTAGAAAGTGCACGAGTCTGGAGAACAATTAGCGTTATACATTTTAATGCCAAATCCTTTTTTTTTTTACTCAACATGGCAAACCTGATGAGAGAAAGCACCCATATTTTTTTTTAAAACCATGACATGCACACAATGTGAACCTGTGCTTTGCCCATACAGTTTTTACTCTAATGCAGAGAATGCATTAAGGTAAAAAAAAAACAAAAAAAACGCCTAGACCTTAATACTACTTTAACCTCCATGGCATCCTTCACCAGACATACTAAAACAAAATGCCAGCTCTCCATGCTGTTCCTGTTTAGGCTTCCCATCTGTGCGCTCTGCTAGTTGTAAACTTGCAAAGGCTTCCTATGGGGCTAACTAGTTTACCTAAAAAGATGCAGATTACAGGGACCAGATCTAGCAAAGGATGCAAAAGAGTTAAGTAAAGCTTATACATATACTTTCACATGCTTCTCTGGGGCTCCTAAATGGGTTTTTTTTTTAAGATACATGAAAAATATAAGCTTATCAATGCATGCCAAGAAAAAAAAATGCATTTGTAATTAGTTATATCCGTAGGCTTTGGCTTAATAGTGCTACCTGTCATCATGCCCTACGCATCCTCATGTCAATGTAAGTTAATCAGAAAGGACATGTTGATTAAAACAAGGTGCCCTTTTATTCAGACTTGACTGAGCAAGATGAATAAATTACCTTTCATTTCTAGCACGGCAGAGTCAGGAACATCCTTCCCTTCCTCATCCGTCCGTTTAACAATACGATCCAGTAAGTCTTCATCTGTGGGGCAGATTATGATGGCCTTGCGCTGAAATCCTTCAAATGGTCGCATCTTCCTGCGCTGAGCTGTACCATAGACATTAGTCTAAGGAGAGAATGACAAGAGCATAAGTGGCTGTCCACGGTATTCGAGACATTTGGTACTGCCCTCTATGTTCTCCTTCTTACTTGATCTAGAATGTAGTTCCGTTTCCTGCGGGAAGCTATCTGGATGAGTTGGTTTAAACACTTTGTGGCTTGCTGAATAAGGACATCCCAGCGACCGGCATAGTTACGCTGTCTTCTAAGGCCCATTACCTGGGGGTAAGAGTTCAGTCAAAATCATGGAAATGTATGCGTTATGTGAAAGTTTCACATGGAAATGCCTTTTTTTTCAGCCCTGGCAGAAACAGATCTTTTTCACTAGATTTTCTCTACAGTATTCTACTTTCATTTACCAAATTTCTATTCAGAGATGAACGGAATGCATGAAACTTAACCCTAGACAAATCACCACCCATTAAAAAAGTCATGCTACTAAGTCTGACTAATACTAGCAACATTCAGAGCTTTCCGTCAGTTGCCAATCTTGGAACGCCGTGCTCAACAGCAATCTACAATTTGAAATATTTTCCAGGTCAGGCTACACGGTTTTGCACATATGGCCATATAATGTAGCTGGCCCACTTGGTCTTTATTACAGGACTCCCCAAAGACTGCACGAGTCTAAAAGGTGCCCATACACCTGGCGATTATCGTACAATAATCGCGGGTGATCCCGCGGTCGTTCGATAATTGGCAGGTGTATGGGCAGCGTGCGACCGCTTCTACTGTACTACTTCTAGGTCGCACAACATTCGTCTTCCGAGCACATTTGAAAACCCGCCGAAAATCATGATTTTTGGCGGGTTAGTGGCGTGCTCGGGAGACGAATGCCGCAAGCGCACACTGCACGCTCAGCACTGCAATCATTGGAAGCCATCCCCACAGCGGGGAGGGCTTGCGATGATCGCGAGTACGATCTGCCTGTCGAAGATGGGCAGATCGTACAAAATGTTTATTACCTTACAACCATCGCACAACGAAAGTCGTGCGATGGTTGTAAGGTGTATGGGCAGCTTAAGACTACAACGTGTAGCTTAATTCAGAGATAAAGACAATCAGAGAAAATAAGCAGCTGAGCTGGGGTGAAAAAGTCGGTCCAACCAAACTGGTATTTAGTAGATGTGCACTGAAAGGAAATCGAGACCAAATCCGAAAATTAAAAAAAAGAATGTCAGGCCGAAACAGAAAATAATCTTCCCCCCCTATTCTTTTTAATTTTTTTTTAAAAGATTTACATTTATTTTTATTAAATGTTTAACTTTACTGCTGGGGGCTTCAGTGAAATATGGGCTCTAAGACTCCTGACATTTCCCTTTTACAAAAGAAAAAGAGATTGAGGACACAGAGTCCTTAATCACTTTTTCTGCAGCCCCTGTTATAAATAAACAGGAATCCTCTATACTGAGTGTTCCTGTTCATTCATAACTTGTGGAGATAGTAACTCGCACTAGCTACCCAATTATGAATGAATAGGAAGTGATGTAGTTCACTTCCTATTCATTCATAACTGGTACATAGTAACTCATTCTATCTCTAGTTATTTACAAAAAGTCAGCAATCACTGATAACTAAATGTTTGTATACCGCTTTCCATCCTGACTCACAGGAGGCTGAGCCGGCGCTGCGGGGAGGAGAGCTCTGTCTCCTTTGACAGCTAACTCTTCCCCCTCAGCCTCCTGTGACAGCTCTCTCCGCTGCCACACCGTTCTCCTTATCTGTCACAGGAGGCGGAGCGGGAGGAGAGCTCGGCCTCCAGTGACACACCTCACAGTGCTCTCCTCCCCGCTCCCGACAGGGGGGACACAAAGCGGCACCCAGCGGGAAGGAGAGAAACTAGGGATGCACCACAATTTCGGCCGAAAGATGGCACTTCTGAATTTTGCCAAAAGTGCCATTTTCGCCGATAAGTTTCAGGGGACGAAATTTCAGTGAATTCCTAGTATTACGTTTTGAAAGATGCCTTCAGCTTCAAAGATGCTGCGTCCTACTTGTAGACCTTACCAACAAGAGGGCCATTTCAGATCAACCCTTTTCATTAAATATATTATCCATAAAGCTGTCGTAGGAACAAAATCCAAGAAAAAAAAAGGCAAGATGAGCTGAAAACTGAAACATCACTCGGACCGCATCTCCCAAACACAGCAGTATTCATAGACCAATTCACTTCCTTCTCCAAGCTACACTAAAGAAATAAGCAACTCAAATTGACAGAATACTGGAGTATTTAAATATTGGCTTAAATCTAGTAACAGTGTGGACACATTTTATAAGCTTCCCATAATCCCCATATACAGCAGTACACCAACAGAAGGAGGGTCAGCAGTGAGTTTGCATTCTAACAATGAACACATTTGCAGGAAGGCACCTTATGAATATACAACTCTTCCTGCATTGTTCAAGTGGCCGGCTGAGGAGAGGAAAGATGTCTAATAAAGCAAACATTTATTCCTATGTTAACCTTTCAGATGGGAGAGTACCATTTCTACTGTTCCCTGCAGTTTTGTTTCAGTCATTCGTCACCATTTGTTTACTTTGCACAGTTATGGACCATAAAGCAAAATGAAGACTTGGAAAATAATCCAATTATTACTTATAATGTATAAAAGGAGAAATGAAGGCTAAAAACAATTAAACTGCATTTTGTTCTAGTGAAATAAAAATTAAAAAAACCCTCAATGTACCCATTGTCACATTCATTTGCTGGAGAAAAATAAAAAAACATTAGACTGCACAGTTATAAAGCTGTTACATGGTCTGAAACAAGACTCTCTTACCCTCATCTTTTCCATGATGGCATTGGTGCCAAGGATATTGTATTTCTTTTCAGGGTTTTCTTTTGAGTGCTTCATTGCCCAGGTTGTCTTCCCGGCTCCAGGCAATCCCACCATCATCAGAATCTGTAAAGACAAATGCAACATTATACAGATGCTGTAATACTGTAATGCTGGAGCCATTGTCTGTCATCTGCGCTCTCTGTAGAAAGCTCACCTCGCACTCTCCTTTGTTCTTTGGAGCTAAAGTCCCTCTTATTCGTTCATAGGCAGGCTGGTGCTGGATGAAGGTAAAACCTGGCGGAATATTGCAGAAAGAGTCGACTCTCTGGCCAAAGTTAAACTCCACGCAGCAGTTCTTCACAAGGATGTGGGGGAAGAAGGCTTGACTGCCTACGGTACTTCTGTTCACGCGGAAAGCCGTACCGAAATACTGACCATTCTTTGAGAAGGAAATCTCTATGTCGCCACGAGTTTCAAAATCCTAGGGAGACATTTAAAAAGGAAACAAGGATTTTTAGGACAATACCTTTAATAACATGCTATAAAACAATACAGGAATGTAACTAGTGCATCACATGCATTTAGTTTTTGATAAATCCCATTTCCAGAAGAGGGTTAAATGAATCTGCACTCATCTACGCTGAAAACGAACGCCAACACATGTCAATTATACTCTGGAGCCTTGGTTCTCAACTGGTGGGTTGTTCAGTGGGTCACCACATGCCTTCCACTTTTCACGGTGAGAGGCTCCTCTGCCTCCCCCTTGCACAGCACTGTCAGTCCAAGCAGCCATCTACAATATGCTGTCCGGTGTTGAGTGTGAACTTGAGGTGGGCTGGGCATATGGCCACAAGGGAGCTCCATTCATACGTGAATTGCTTACACCTCCTTCATGTGTCCTGGACCGGAGTGATGTCACATTCTGGCTCCCGGCACCTTTACAGGGTACGCAACGGAGCTGTACCAGCAATACACATATGGATGGAGCTCCGTAACAGCACAGCAGCCCACACTGGACCCCTGTGGGTGTATGAATGTGTGAGAATTTGTCTGTGGTTGTGCGTCTGTCAGTGTTTTTGAGGGCCCGGTCACACTAGTAAAGTGCGTTAATCGCACAGTCCCATTCTGATGTAGGTGTGTTGCATTGCCATTCATTTGAACGGCACCTCAAACGCACCTCCCACCCCACAGTTCAATGACCCGTACTGCCATGCGTTCCAGTGCAATGCAACTTGGGTCATAACTTAATGACCAAGGACAAATGTTGGTCCTGTGGTTACACAGGTTGAGAACCATTGCTCTAGAGCCTTCCAGTACCCATAAATATCCCAGCTGGAGAGAGTCCAGAGAAGGGCAACGAAACTCATTAAGGGGCTGGAGGACCAAAGCTATGAGACAAGGTTGCTAAATTTAAACTTTTTCAAGCTGAAGTGAGGCAATTAAGAGGGGACATGATTTTGATGTACAAAATGTTTGGTGGTGATGGCAACATCAGCAATAAACTTTTTTACAGTAAAGTCCCTAACAAGCACTAGAGGCCACCACCTAAAATTGGTGGAGAAAAGATTTAACCACAAAGGGCATAGGCGATTCTTTCCTGTCAGAGCGGTTACATTTTGGAACTCTCTGCCACAAGCAGTGGCATCAGCAGAGAATATTGATTCATTCAAAAATCAATTAGGTACCTTCCTCATAGTCTGTAACATACAGGGGTACAGGTACTCTTAAATACTAGACCACAAAGGGACTCTTATACACACAAAAATGCACAGTCACACACATACAGAGGTTGAACTTGATGGACCTGTGTATTTATTCAACCTCAAATACTTTGCAAGTGGCTTCAAGAATCTACAAAACATCAACAAGTCCAGTTGAGGTAGAACATGACTGGACTACATCTGTGAGTCTGACAAAATGCAGCTTGCATGGTGTACTTGACAGTTAATATCCATGTTTTGGAGCCCCTGGGCGACACTGCAGGGAAGCCAGGGGAAAAAACCCCAAGGCCAAGCCAAGAAGAGCAGATTCTTCAGCTAGTAGTAGAATCCAACAATCTATAACGATCCAGGAAAAAAACCCACCAAAATATCTTCTCTCATAGAACACAAAGATGAACCTGAGCACTATTTATATATCCAAAAGGGTAAAGCGCATTAGGACACAAGTAATTACCATCACCTTAGTGCCCATCCTCCTAGGGGCAAGTCTGCTGTGTCCCCCAATGAACTCTAATTTTCCCATATGACAGGCAAGTATTTGTCATAAGACAGCAAAAGAAAGCGATCACAGTTCTTGAATTCTACCTCAGAATACCTGCTTCCTTTTTTTTTTTTTTAAAGATTAAAACATCAATGACCAAATCTGTGCTTTGTTTCCAGAGATTTTGACTACAGACAAAAGCTGTATCATAATAAAAGTAAACATGTAAGATCTTCAAAAAAGGCAAAACGTACTATAAAACATCCAAGGACATCATTCTCTCCAAAGGTTTCCCCGTAGTTTTCAAACTTGCTGTTTGTAGATTTCTTTGCTGTACCCCCGTAACCATAGGAAAATGGTTCCTCTCCTTAAACATAAGAGAAAAAAAAGTTATGAATTAAATGCAACGATGGCCGATTATTTTTTCCATTAATCAGTTAAAAAGGTAAAAAAAATATTAAATACCACCTTTTATTTAAAATGAAATACACAAATGGTGTTACAAAGTTTACTTCAGAATAAAACCGCATGCACATTTTTTTGCAATCACACAGCATTGCAGTACCGTGCGTTCCAGTGCGGGCGATCACACTGCAGGGCAGGAGGCGCATTTGGGGGCCACTGAAATGAACGGCACCACAACACACATCCTGCAGCAGAGTTTGTCAGGCTGAAACCAAAAACTACCCTTTCCACCTTTATTTATATATTTTATCAAATTCTATGTATTATATTTAGACATTTAAATTAGGTTCATGGATTTTAACCCCTTAGTGACCAGTGACATCCATAGTATGTCACTGGCACCGGGCCTGTTTAAACAGACTCCTCTGTTTACATTTGCAAAGCCGACTGTCTGCTTAACAAAAGAAGCGATTCTATTGTAAGGCCCCCCCCCCATGTGATGCAATTAAAGTAAAAAAATAAATAAAATAAAACCAGTTGTTAAAAATAGTATCAAGTTAAATAAATGTAAAAATTAAAAAAAAAAATTTTTAAGTCCCCAGCGAGCATGGGAGTCATACATATGAAAACAACGATCGCGATACACGTTAGGTGTTGCCTCAAAACTGAAGACCTTTTAAAGCATCATCTATGGACTTTTTGGGGTACTGAATTTTGTCACCGTTTCACAAAATTAACCTGGGCATGTTGGGTATCTATTTACCCTTTGTAACCTCATCTTTTATATAAAAAAAAAAAAAGAAAAGGATATTGTGTTTTGGGGCACTAAATTTAACTTAAGTGCATTTTTCACAAAATTTGGGGGTTTGATAACAACTTGCGCTAATAACGTGCAACATAAAAATTTGCAACTGCCATTTTATTCTATAGGGTCTTGGCTTTCTTATACAATATATAATGTTTGGGGGTTTGAAGTAATTTTCAGGCCTAAAATTTGGATTATAACATGGGTGGAAAAAACACACAAAAGAGGCCTCAGTCATGAAGGGGTTAAATAATCTGAATGGTCAAACTCCAAGCCAGGAAACTGGCATATGCAGAACAAGAAGTCAATACAGACTTAATGTTTCTATTGGGGAAGTGCTGCTTTGAGTGGACCTATGCTTATATATTACCATGAAAGTATTTTATGGCCAATTTTTACATGTCAATTATATTGTCACACACAAAAAAGGATCAATGGACACTCAGATTTGTCTGCTGCAAAATACAAGTATAGAGAATAATGCCATACCTAACTGAGTGGTGCAGGAATCCAGAGACCACCCGACACGTACTACATGGGGATCTGGCTCACTAGATGGGAGGTGAGCTACTGCAATTTCTTCCTTAATCTGTGGGGGGTAGAAATAAATGAGACCCAGCAGGTGTTCAATAAAACAAATATCCGTGTGGTAAAGTCAATAACCCATACTAACCAATCAGAGCAGAGAAATTCTTACCTTTATCTCAAAGCACACCCGACCCCTGTTGACCCCATGTGTAGCCCGAGCTCCAGACCACAGGTAAGCAAACCCTTGCATGGTAAGTGGGAAACCAGTATTGCGGTCTTTGCTGAGCTTGAAGTGCAGATCACTGTTATCTGAAATAATAATTATAGGCTGTTATTACTACAAAGATAAAATGATTTTTATGATTTAACACCAGAGTTTAATGCCACTTTACATTCAAATAGCCCAACTATAAACAAAAATGTATCTTATTTGTGAATCAAGTGAGCTTCGAGTGGTGGCTACTTTACAACACACACAGGGGACCATGGGGAACAAAAGTAGCCCCCCTCCAGAAGGAAGGACAGTGTCAGCACCAATTCAGAGCTAATTTGGGGATCTACAGCCGAGTGATACACAAATAAGATACATTTTTGTTAATAGTTAGGATACTTGAATGCGTTTGTAAGATTTAACTCCTGAATTTAGTGTCACTTTAAACTGTAATGTAACTAAGGATAATTTCTACATTCATGACAAAAGTGATTCAAGCCAGAAGCCTCTAAATCAGGGATAGGCAAACATCGGCCCTCCAGCTGTGGTGAAGCTACATAATCCCATTATGCCTCCGGCTGTCATAGTCTTGCAATGCACAATGGGATTTATAGTTGCCCCACAGCTGAAAGGCCAGAGTTTGCCTACCCCTGTTCTAAATTATTACTTCTTTGAGCATTAACTGGGGGCACAGACACCAAGACAAAGCAGAAGGGTCGTGCTCTGCCCCTTGTATTGGGATTAAGAGTTCAGGTTACCTTTGTGTCCTAGGAAGTAGGACCTTATTGATTATTTTGTTTTCTCGCTCACTATCAATGGATTTGCACAGAAGATTGGCAATGATTGGATTCAGAATAATTTTGACTGGGTCCTAGCAGTCTCACACCATGCCGCAAGCCCAGAGATTCACTGCAAGAGTTACACCCTTGGACCAGCTACAAAGTGTTCACAGCATAGAAGTTGTGTATCTCTCTGCCTGAATAGTGACAGAGATCATCAGATGAAAGTCATAATAATCAGCTCCCGCCACCTTCCTGTACCTATGCCTTGAATGCCAGCCTGGTCATGGCAAGTATACAGCACGTGATTCAATGCATATTCCAGAGAATATTCCCAGGATACCACCACTCATGTATTTTTAAAGACAGTTATCCACTATAGTAGATGAATGTACTGCTCTTTAAATCTGGGAAGGAGATCAACATAAATAAAACTCACAATTATCTAAAACAACAACGTTCTCATCAAATGGATCGTCTTCATCATCAGCTCCACGACCTTGTGGGGACTGCGCTCTGGAAAACAAACATCAAACTTTTATTTCCAATACTGCTGATAAAAGATTGTCCAATTCACAAGGAAATGGGGACAGCGCTGCTGGATTGCAGGCTACCATTAGCCCCAAAAAAGTGACATGCTATGCTTTAGATTTTGAGCCTGCCCTTGGAACATAGAAGATAAAAACAACAGTGCTGCCTCCATGTGTAAAAACGTTTGTAATAGAACAGTAAACCACAGTTATAAGTACTCGCAACTATAAATCTCAACATGCTCGTCACAGAAGCCACAAAATCAGTGTCCAAGGAATGTTCCGCTCCGACTGCGTACAAAAAGCTGCCTCCGGTCACATCGACCACCGGTTGCTTAGGCTGGATTTGCGCATTTCAGGGGCACGCCCCCTTCCTCAGAATCACGGCTTGTCAGAGAGAGGGGTTTAAGATCTCTCTCTCGTGTTGAGATTTACAGGTGAAACTCGAATAATTAGAATATCGTGCAAAAGTAATTGCTGCAAAAGGGGCCCAAACCAAGTACTGAGTACATATGCATGCTTGTACTTTTCAGAGGTCCGATATTGTTCTATGTACAATCCTTGTTTTATTGATTGCATGTAATAATCTACTTTTTTGAGGTTGTGGATTTGGGGTTCTTGGGGTTTTCATGAGCTGTAAGCCATAATCATCACAATGATGACAAATCACGGCTTGAATTATCTTGCTTTGCATGTAATGAGTCTATCTAATATATTAGTTTCACCTTTTAAGTTGCATTAGTGAAATAAATGAACTTTGCACGATATTCTAATTATTCGAGTTTCACCTGTATAATTGTGAGTGGTTAGAACCGTGGTTTACTGTTCTTACACATGGAGGTGGAGCTTTGTTGTTTTTATCTTCTACGATATGTATATGACGGGAACCCCAGAGTCTTTTGATGATCAGCCACCCCTAAAGTGTGTGAAAGACAGAACGACTACTTCTGGATTGTGTGACGGCAACCATTTAGCGCCAAGAGCTAAAATTAATGGCCCTTGGAACAATTTGCTTTGTGATGGTTCTTCTTTAGGTCTGCATACTGTACTGTGCTGCTTACAGGTTACCCCTGTACATTAGAGCAAACAGTGTAAAAATGCTCTGATGGAAGTCATTGCTTGACTTGACCTGCAAGCTACTTCCATGACAGGAAAGCCATAAAGATGTTTGCTTTGTTGCCCTATAATTAAAATGAGACACATGACTAAAGGAATAGCTGCCTTCATCAGATCCATCTAACAAAAGGGATTTGCTTTACGATTTAATAATAAATATGAAAATCAAATTTGTAACCGCTTTTCTAAAATAGTCACTCGCCAGATGTACACACCTCTTGTCATCGCGGTGCTCATAGAAGCCCCTCCCTTTCTCCTCAAATGGTCTTTTGCGGTTCTGGAAGGGCTGTGGTGGACCAGACGCATTTGGGGCCCGGTAACCAGGGTCAGGTTCCTCCTGTTTAATCTCTGTGTTTAGGCCTGAAAAAGAAAACCATATAAATATGACACCGTTATACAAAGCATTTATAAGCAGAACTTTAGTGTAATGCTATAAGACAAACAAATAAAAGAAACGTAACATGTAGCATGCAGCCATTACCCTGGATCTACTGACTGTTTTCTGATGTAGTTTCTTCTGAAGGGAAGCTCTGCTTTTTCAATGTTTTTATATGTTCAAAACTGCCCAGGACTGTGAAGGGTTTGCTTTGAAGAGCTCCCTTGGCCTAGTCAATGCCAAACGGGAGGTTGAAATATTGGAGGGCCACTGTTTGGTGATCTCGGACAGAATGCCTTACAAGCTGTAGTGTTTTTTTCGATACAAAGAATACATGCTTTTTACAAATATCAGTTCCTGCCAAGCGCTGACATGTGAGGAATGGCCCAGCTTCTTCCATTTTGCATAAATACATAAGGAGCACCGGCGCCAACAACCCAAAAAAAAAACCAACCCACAGACGACCAAGAAGCAAGCAGCCCGCACCTCCTTATTATTATTGTTTTTAGGAAATTGGTAGAGGAAAAGCACTAGGACTTTACACTGCATGCAGCCACAATGCTACATATCTGTCAGCAGATGGAATGTCCCAATAGAATATTCTGCCCATCTGTTGGCTTCGAGGTCCTTCACTGACCACCATTGCCTCCAGAGAGAGTCAGAAGTCTTCCCTCTGACATACATAAGAGAAATCTGACAAGAAAACGTTGGCACAGCAGACCGGAGAAACAAGTATTCTAAAACTGGCCAACCACACCAATAACATGATTATTTACACAGGCCGCCTAGCTGCAAAACTGGTTTAAATCATATATCCTAACTTCATTAACTTCATCATGGAGTGCTCTGCAGACTAAGGAACACATTACACCATATGGCAGGAATATGTGTAAGAAGATCGAAGTAACAGAATATACAAAAATGATGTAGACTTCCAGCAAAACCTTACAGAAGAGATTATTTGACATGCTATCACTGGCGAGGAATCAGACCTTATGCACACATATTAGAATCCCTAAAGCAGCACTTCAGGCAAATCCAATCTCAACCTTTCCGTGAGGCTACCCCTGCACTAGGGGCGTCCCGAGTCACACTCAGCAGTGACGTAATCGTGCATGTGCGGTCATCTAATTGACGCCTGCCATCCTGGTGATGGATGCCGGCAGAGAGAGGAGGGGACGTTCACTCGGCGGTATGAGGTATGCCGCCGGGTCCCCTCCTCTCTCCTCACACTGTTGGGCTCTCGGTCCATTACCTAGTGCCTGACTTTTTAGAGGGGGTGACACCAAAATGACTAGGTCATTTTGGTGTCACCCATCCAATGGTGTCACCAGGGTGCAGGCCCCACCCCCCTAGTGACTCCACTGCCCCGCATTGCAAGAGTTAAATGCTCCTTTTGTCTAGGGAGCTAAAACAAAGTTATGCTTAACCAAACCGCAATCCCAACTGGCTCCTCCTCAGCTCCAGCAATGGTATGCCCCTCGATGTCCTCACATTATATACAAAGTGTAGAATGTGATCACTCAAGGACTTTATACCGCTGGAGCGGAGGGGGAAGAGAGTCTGAAGTGAGCTGTCTAAGGCTCCATTCACACCTGAGCGCGTGCAGTGCAGCACAATTTTTCACGCTGACAAAAACACACAGATTTTTACGAATGAGCGTTCGCTGCTACAACCACAACACCTGGCAACCGCCCAGATAATCGTGCTTTTCTCGTGTTGCATATTTTTTGCCCGCGTGTACGAACGCACAGGTGTGAATGTTTCACATTTGAACACATTGACTTTTGTGTTTTGCGTGTTACCGTGCGTATCTATACGCGCAAAAAAACGATCAGGCGTAAACCAGGCCTTACAGCAAGCCGGGATTGTTATTTTAGCTCCCTAGACAAAACGAGCACATAACACTTGCAGTGCAGAGGAAGCCCCATTGCAAGGGTAAAGATTTCATTTGCCGGGAGTTCTGCTTTAAACAGTAATTGCAACAGTTCATTTTACAGTTGTGTTCAGCCATCAGCCGCCTCCTTTCCTCAGCCTTCAATAGCAAAGTCTTCCTGCAGCGGTTACTGTCTGTGACTGCCCACAAGGCAACAATGAGAACGTTGCTGCCTCATAGCTGAAATCAGCTGTATGCTAATTCTACATAATGGAAAATCCATTATTAATGGCCACAGCAGCTGGACAGAACTCACAATATGGATGCAAAGTGTACCAGCTGGAGACAACACAACACATTATACAACATGCAAGTCAACTTTCTAAAAAACTTGCAAACACTGGAAGAGTGCGGAGGGGCAGGGATGGTCCGTGCTGTACTTTGTATCCCAAAAAATAGGATTTTGGTACTCACCGTAAAATCCTTTTCTCTCCGTTCATTGAAGGACACAGGGAACAGATCGGAGATCATGTACTGTTGGGTAATATCGCCACCTGCAGGAGAAGGACGAGTTTTAGTGAAAATTGAAAACATAATGCTGCTAATCCAGTTATGTGCAGGAAGGAAAGGTTGTGGAATGTCGAGTGTCATTAGGTCAAATTGTTGATCAGCACCAACACATAACTGTAACAACAAACACTTCCCCAAACTAAACTGAAATATGGGCAGACCTAATGACACGGTGGGGAGTTTAGCTACGATAAGTGGATGAGGATGACTTAGTACAGGAGACAAAATTTAATGTCACCCAAAACACATTTCAGTAATAGGAGAAATGAGCAAGGATGGGGTCTGGCTTGTTTACACTTCTCTTTTGCAGAGTTTTGCACTACAAAAGTTCTTGAAATATTTTCCTGGAGCTGATCTCTAGGGTACGTCTGCCATTAACTGCTTCAGGGCCGCAATACAACGGCTGCAACCCAAAGTGGTTGTACCAAGATCATGGATGCTGCAGCACCATATTGCATTTATTTTTACAGACGCCGATGGCTGTTCACATACATCTACAGAGCCACCGATCGCTTGTATGGTGCTGGGGAGTGCCCCCTCCATCATCAGTGTCAGGAGAAGACTAACAGTACATTTATATTATTGCCAGGGAGCATGCCAGGTTTAAGAAACATTTTACCGCACAATCAGAATGTGCAGGCCATTGTGTACAGCCAGAATGTCCTACAAAGTTCCAAAAGCAACATTGGTATTTCCACAGGAGGACCTGGCTATCATTAAAGCTGGCCATACCCCTATAGAATATCTGCAGACTTTCTATGGTCAGATGGAAAATGTGCAACAGGTTCCTCCATCTACGCTAAGCTGTGTGGATGGAGGGATCACCCGCTGGGCCAAGCTTCAGTATCTTGCTAGTCGGCCCCGCTGGCTCTCAAAATACCTGAACAATCTGATTGGATGCGGCATTGTTCAGGTGTTGGAGAGCCAGCGGGGCCGACTAGCAACACACTGAAGCTCGGCCACCGGGAGATTCCTCCATCCACACAGTTTAGCGTAGATGGAGGAATCTGTTGCACTGTTTCCATCTGACCATAGAAAGTCTGCAGATAATCTCTAGGTGTATGGCCAGATTTAGACTTACTTCTATGCCCTGCAAATCAACTAGTTTACATGCAACTCCAGCTGTATTTCCTGGCCGGTCAGGCTGCAATGGCTGCCAGTCTTATAGAGCCCAGTGCTATGGTTGGGTCAGTCCTCAGCTTCTCATCATTCACATAACACACGGCCCAAGGATTTGTTTTGTGAATAGCCTGTAGGAGAGGTGGACAGAGACAAAACCGTAGCGCTGGGATCTACGAGACCTGCAGCTCTTAAAGCTGAACCTTCCAAGAAATAAAGCAGGAGCTTTGCTCCCTCTGGCATGTAAATAAACTGATTTGCAGGACACAGACGTTTGTCTGCATGACAACAGTTCTTCCCAAGGAACAAGAGTGTTGAAGGTAACCTTGCCCAGAGTTGGGTTTTAATGCAGCAAAGAACATTTTGTGATTGGAGGAGAGTTGATCACATGACCTCTGGCTCTCCTGCATTTTTTTCTCTTTTATTTTCCAATTGCTCTGGCGTTTTACGTATCCTGAGACCAGCAGAGAGTTAAGCACATTGCTGTACTTTATAAATGTGCCAGGCAGGGCTTCAGCACTGCATTAAAATCAAGTATTTTGTACCTGAACGCCAAAACAGAACCAATGTGCAGCTTTGTGGTTAAGTGCAGTAAAGAAACTATACACAAATTGAAAAACCCAAGACAGGTCATCTTTATCTAATAAAGAACTCAAAACGTAACCTATTCTACAGTTTCTAACGGTGCAGCCATTTTGATCTCCAAATATAATCTATTAATAAATTTGTCAAAGTGTCCAAATCTTACAGGACTGCTAATATGCAAGTGAACAGATCTCCTTAATATGAAACAGAAAAATGTCTTGTTTGCTTCACCTGATTTAATATTATTGCTTACGTAGACATGTAACGTTACCGGAAGCTCCACTTTAAATGACAACAATGCATGGTGGGCATCGAAGCAAGCTGGATAACAATTTGGAACGTATGAATCATGTGTGTCTGACATGCATATCTGGATATTATTCCTTTGCAGGACGGTAAAGTCTACATGAAACAGCCTGAAGCAAATTCCACGTCTAGAATGATATGCATTGCTTCTGTCCTCAGGTCTACTGGTTTTCTCTAGAATCAAAGATCTAATCAAGGATCCAATGTTTGCCCCTTCTCCAGACAACCCTTCAGGACACCACTCTGCAAGTTTCTGCACAATTATATTGGTAGTCAAGATTTCAGACCTTTCAGCCCATTATTAAGAAAACACAGCGACAACCCAGGATGTGTCGTGTGCAGTAATACAGATCAGTTGAATGATCACTCCTTGTTGGCTGGTCTGACTACAAAACTAAATACGTCACCTTAAGGCTTTCTTTCACACTGTGCTGGATGTAGGAAAGCACCCAACCTCGTGTTTTTGGGCAGCATACTGCTCATGGTTCAAATCCTCTCTCAGCAAGCCACTGAAAAGAGACCCCCATGGTACAAAACACATAGAAGGGAATTCATTAAAACTGGAGCAGAGAGAATCTGGAGCAGTTGTGCATGGCAACCAATCAGCTTCGCTCTTTCATTTTTAAATCTTAACTGAACAGTTGCTCCAGTGTTGATAAATTCCCCCCATAGCGTTTGGCCAGACGCACCACAACACACTGCCTGACCCATCTGCAAAGTGTCAACTGAATAATTTAGCTAAGAAGACTCAGCATATCAAAGTGACACTTAAGCTGTACAGACAGTAACTGCAGACCACAAAATTTGCAGCAGAATTCCCGGAGAAAGCCAAGAACGCCAGAGTGTGCCGCTAGGCGAAAAGCCACTGGTTTTATGTTGCTGGCTCTGGTCTTCCCCCTGCCACTGGCTTATGTTACTGGTTCTTGTCTTCCCCCTGCCACTGGCTTATGTTACTGGTACTGGTCTTCCCCCTGCCACTGGCTTATGTTGCTGGTTCTGGTCTTCCGCCTGCCACTGGCTTATGTTACTGGTTCTGGTCTTCCCCATGCCACTGGCTTATGTTGCTGGTTCGGTCTTCCCCATGCCACTGGCTTATGGTTATTGGCTCTGTTCTCCCCCTGCCACTGGCTTACGTTACTGGCTCTGGTCTTCCCCTGCCACTGGCTTACGTTACTGGCTCTGGTCTGCCCCCTGCCGCACCTCAATATTGACCCATCTCTACGAGCGCTGGCCCCACTAACCAATGCGATGCAGACCAGGGCCAGTTATCATGGAAGCTGGTTGCTCTTCGCTTACCTGAGCACCCCGGTATTCAGAGCTCCCTAAAAGAAACCTTTTAATGGTCCCAAAATAACTTCACTCTTGCTGGTTTCTGTGGGTCAATGCTTTTACAAATTTACTCAATTTTCATTTTATTTACTGCCCACCTGCTCAGTTTGGCCAATATGTTTGCAAACATTTTAGTCTCAAACATCAAAACGATGCCTGAGATTTTTACTTTATAAAAAACAAACGTCCTTGGCATTTGCCAACACAGATACTGAACAAAGACAGAAGAGCCACCGCCTCCTGTATTAGAGAGGTTTAGCCCATATGAGTAGAAGACATCTTAGTGTCCAACCTCCACCCGAAGAGCAAAAAGTGGCTCATCTATGGACAACATAATTGACTATACTTTATAATGAACACTTTCTTTCTACATTAAAGTGACATTAAACCCTCAGATTTAACATAAAACAATACTGTAATGTGTGCCTTACTGTAATCCATGGTTGTTTCCCTTCTCTTTGCTGCTCTTTTTAAATCCGTATCTCTTCTCGTGCTGGGCAGAACTTCTGTTTTGCAGCAGACTGCCTTGTCTCTGGAATGGATACATGGTGTCTGTGTATTGGTTTGTAACCTGAGCCAGCACTACAGGAAGAGGCAGTCAACTGCAAAGGGAAGTTCTCTCCAAGCATGAGAAGACATGAGGATTTAAAAGGAAGAGCAGCAAAGAGAAGGGAAAGAACCATGGATTACAGTAAGGCGCACATTACAGTATTGGTTTATGTAAAACAAAATGAGGGTTTAATGTCACTTTAAGCAAATCATATGAAGGTGACCTTCGCAATAATTACCCATACTAAGTGTAGGAGGTCCTGGGTCCAAAGGTCTCCTGTCAAAAAATGGCTCTCGTTCCTGCTTAATAGGGTCTGGTCTGTTTTGAGGTGGGAAGCCTCCCCCTGGAGGGCCATAAGGGTCTGGTCCATGTCCGTAATCTGAAACAGGAAATCATTAATTACTTTAAATGCTCTTCTACATTACACAAATGCCTCCTGTATAACAAATAGCTCTCAATGACCACTTCCTTCCATAAATATACGTGGCATTTCTCGCCAACATTTCCAGAAGAGCTGAACATAGATTTCACACAGGCTGTAACAATAATGAAAAAAACAGTACAGCATGTTCTTCATTGGCAGAATGGTCTGGGTTGGCGAGTAGGGAACACACTAAAGATAAGGCTGCATTTAAGGTGACATTTACAAAGACGGACCCCAAAGCACCTATCTGTAAGTGCACGCACAGTGCATTGCGGTGATTCCATGGCAAACAGAAGGTGTGCTTTTTTGCAAGCCCCCTGCACCTCTCTCCCCTCCTGCGCACACACACGGCTTTAAAACTGGACTTACCTCAGCCCCGGTCTCTGACACTTCCAAGTGGCATGGGTGACACCACCCTGCCTCCTGCATGCACTCTTGCAGGATATTTTGTTCCCAGCTCTCTAGAAAGGTGCAGTGACATGCCACCCATGTCAGCTGGAAGCATCGGAGGTCGAGCCAAAGGCATTTTTTTTTTAAAAGCCATCTGCCTTCAGGGCGGGGGACTTGCAAATCCTCCATTGTGCATGAAGGTGCTTCACCCAAAAAATAATGTATATATATATATATTTCTTTCCCTTAGACCCTGGCACCCAGATCCAGTTGGCCTAGCAAAGGGCACATTACGTGGCATTCTTAAGGGCCTGTTCACATGAGATCAGGTCCTGATCAGCAGACGTGGAGCTGCTGATGCATTGCGTTTTTGGCCGCGTTTTTGATGCGTTCCAGCAAAAAAAAAAAAATTGTTTTGCTGGAGGGGGCTGTTAGTATGTTAGCTGCAGCGCAGTGCGTTTTGATGCGTTTGCGTATCCGTTCCCGGACCTGACAAAATGTGACATGCAGATGAACGGACTGTGCACGTGAGAACTGTAGCCCATAAAACACATAGGGATACATTGGGATACATTTTGAGTGCAGCAGCGTACGGAGCCGGTCAGCACACAAAACGGACGTCGTGTGAACAGGCCCTAAGGGGTCCTGGGAAAAGTAAGGATACCAAATCTTGCGAGAATTTGTTCCTGCACATCATGGGATCCCCAGCTTTCCTAGGATCTGGTGGGAACACGGAGTGAAACTTCATATTAAAGTGGACCTTCACCCTCTGCCCATTACCCCCCCCCCTTCACACATACACAGAATTTGTGTTGTATAACTACCTTTTATTATGCCCCTCATTCCACTACAGTATATGATGAAACTCTTTTATGATTTATTTTGATACGTTGTTACATACTTATGCCAGGGCTGCATGGATCCCAGGAGCCAGATAGCCAGTGCTCCTTGGTTTGGTATTGTACTGTCTATTGCTGTGCAAACTGCTGGTGCTATGTAAATCCTGTCATAATAATAACGACAGCTGGCTCCTAACATCTGAGGTTTTCTGAAGAAAATTATCCTGCAGGCTCCTGATTTCCATATTGATTTGTCCGTCCCTGCCTTATACACCAGTCATCGATATACCATAATGCCATAGGCCACTCTATTTTTATTGATAGAGCTCCATCATTTATAGGATTTTGTCTCATAGTCCTGATAAAGGAAAACCCGTGTGCCCCCGAAACCCAGTGGAGTAGCTGTGCATGGCAACCAATCAGCTTCTCTCTTCAATTGAGATTCAAAAATGAAGGAGAAGCTTGATTGGCTGCCATGCACAGCTGCTCCAGTTTTGACAAATTCCCCCCATTGTCTTTCCCCTCCCCCTCCATAATAAAGAGCCTGAACAGGACTGAATTCATTTGTGTGGCGCTCTCATGTTTCCAATTCTCTACAAATGTTTCCGGGGGACTCCTCGGGGTACCCTCATCAACAGAGGACTGCCTCTAGATCAGCCTCTCCCCAGCCAGGGTGCCGTAGCACTTTATGGGTTCCTCAAACTTTTTACCAGCTCCATGGAAATGAATGATGCTATTTTAGGGAGAGAGGTGGGGACCCATTCAGAAAAGGACGGTAGTTTTCCTCCCTCCAGGCTTGCTCCTCCTCCCACCCCCTGCCATAGGTCCTGATATAAAAGGGGGGTTCTAATGTAAAAGAGGGGGACACTGTTATTAAGGGGGCTCTGATCTGAAAGGGGGCTCCTAGTTTGAAGGGCGACACCCCATTTTTTGCATGGGGTTTTCCCTTAAAACTCCATACTAGACCCCTATCTGGGGCATTTGTACATCTCAGACAAGGGTGCCTAGAGATTTTGCATAATTTGAGAGGGTGCCATGACCGAGAAACGCTATAGTCCCCCATCCTCGTCCATTCAGCGCTCCCCCAATACATATTTATTGGCTGGAAGAGTCAGCTGACTCCTGATGGCCCAAGAAAAGGAAGATGGCGGTACGGGAGCAGGCACGCAGCAGACCGCTACACAACACTGCTGGGTCTGCAAATATGTTTTTGGTGGATAACCCAACACACGTGAAGGGGTGAAGTTCCTTTTTAAGAGCAGTAACCCCTGGCAACCAGCAGCATGTGGCTCCAGCTTGATTGCTATAGGTTACTGCACACAGGTCACATACATGTTGCTGTATAATTTATGACCGAGGCAATTGGCTGAAATTAAACAGAAATCCTTCCATATCTAGCAGTATAAACACACGAATTCATTTATCCCCACCATTGGTAGGGTGCCCGGGCCTCTCAGCATCATTGTTGGATGAAGGAGAGCCCTGCTCATAAACATGGAGGCCTTCCACAGCCACGGCACCTGGGCCTTCATGAGGGCCTCTATGTATCCCCGTAATGGGCCACGGTCCGTATGACCAGCCCTGCCATTGTCCCTTCCAGTCACCCATGATCTCTGCCCTCATGGCTTTGTGTTTACCCTTTCTCTCCCGCCCCACCACCTTACTCACATCGGTCATCCCTACGGAAATCCCTGGGAGGCCCGGGTGGGTATCCGCCTCGATTATAATGATCCCCCATCCTCTCGTCACGGCTCGAAGCGCGGGTATCACAAGCGGGCGGACAAAATGGCGGCGCCAGACTAACCCCTCTCACCGACGACCTGCGCAAGGAAGCCCTCTGCTGACAGCATACGGCATCAGCGCCCTTCCAGCCAATAGGCGTCTGCTCGCATCGCCACCGCCTTCTCACATTGGCTATCAGTCTAAGGGCGGAGACCGGTGTTGACCAATGAAACTGGCGGACACCCGTCTCCCTTGGCAACAGCAGGCGTGAATGGGTTAAAGGGACGGCCATGTTAGTACACCCGAGGATCTGCGTGTCTCATTGCAGGAGTACAGGGGTTTAGGCGCCATCTTGCTGCTCGCATTGTGTTACGTCTCATGAGACTTCTGCGATCTTGCTGTATTCTTTCATATGTGAATGAAAGAATAATACGTTGGAGAGGATATAATAATAATAAACCAACCTGTAAAAAAAAAAGGCTCTTATATTGTCATGGGCCATGGGTCCATATTGTGTTGCTCATTGGTTATTCCCCTTAGTGGAGTTTATTGCTTTCTCTTCCATAGTTCTCAGCATGCATATCCTAACTGAATGGCAGTTAGTTTGCTAAAGCACTGTGTACCATAAACAAATGCTATTTTTTTTTTAAATAAAACACTTGTTCTCACTTATTTTATACTTAGCTATCATATCAGAACACACACAGCAGATCTATCATCAGTCCTGAAGAAGGAGGAGCACCAATCTCACGGAATGCGTCGGATATGTTTTATGTCATACACTAATAAAGTGTTCATTGTTTCCCAATGTTTTTGTTCACAGATGGCGCTCCTCATCCACCTCCACAGGCTTTGTATTGCTATCTGTGTTTCTGATGCAGGTTATTTGTGTCTGGTGGAAAATATAAAACAGATACAAATCTGATAGGGATTGTAGTCACCTGTCTGTATTGCTTTTGGAGATTTCCCTTCACTTCCTGTCTGATGAAACCACGGTCAGTGTGACAGTAAAGTCCATGTCACCAGAAGCAGACAAACGGATGAGGGGCTTACACTTACCTTGGTGGAATCGTTACCTCACTGACCCAAAATGCCACCACTGGTCTGGGTTTGGTTTGGTTTTTGCTAGGGATGCACCGATATCGGTATTTCGAGAGTTCGGTGGTGTGGGCAGCAGGACTGAAATTATGTGGCATGGAAAACCTTTGTTTCATGTTTTAAAGATTGCTAAAGGTAGCTGTGACCAATGTCTTATCTGAAAAGTCTATATTGGAATGCTTTAGAACTTGCAACCTAATATGCTTGGTGGAAAAAAAAATAGACTGTATTCAACTGTTGTTGTTGTTCTAGCCAAATGAGGATAGTGCAGGAAAAGTCTACTGGAGGCAAAGGTGCAAATCTGACATTTATGTTCCCTTATCTCTAGGTCTTTAACAATATTTCAGTTATCAGTTATGTCATAGCCATAGTAATCTTGCAGTTTGTTCACTTACTCATTGAAATCCAAACATTTTTATAACATTGCTATAATTTACAGGTTTTCACATCCCATTTTAATTAATGAACAACAAAGGTAAATATGGGGCGGGCATAATTCTATCAGTATATCTAGCAGGACAGCAGAAGCTCATCAATACAGAAAACAAGAGAGGCACCATGTACACCTTCCTCATTCTTCTGCTCACCATCTGCAAGGCTCAAGCTGTCACTTTGGTAAGTTTTAACAAAGATTACAAATTTAATTTGTATCGATTTTTTTAAATAATGTTTTTCTGCTCAGTAGATACATTTAAAGTGGAACTATGGCCTTGAATAAAAAAAAATGTGCTGCAGCACTTAAAGTGGTTCTAAACCCTCCAGTTTTTTTGCCTATATCTACTGCTATCAAGCAGTAGATATAGGCAAAAAGTTGTTTTTTTTAAAAAACCCACTTTAACAGCGCTTAACACTTACTTTGTTTCGACTGTGCGCACACGTCCGAGAAAACGAAACTGCTCCGGCGGGCGCAAAGCATTTTGGGGCGGGTGCATGCGCAGTTCGGATTCTCGGCTGGGAGTCGAGCAGATACACAAGGTAAGTCTATGGACATGTGCACCCGCATGCAGACACCGTGGGATCAGAAGTGCCTGCTAGCAGAGAGGAGTCAGCGCTGGATCGGAGAGCCGCCCCACCGCTGGAGGGACAGATGAAAACATGGGGAAAGAAGAAGAAGATCGGATTAAGAGACATCATTTAAGGTAAGTGCTGACATTAACATGGGGGGGAGGAATTTTTTTTTAATCCTTTAATGTCACTTTAAAGTTGCACCCCAGGCACACAGCTAAATACACACATAAATACATATATGGGGGCTGTTTTACCTGCTAAAGGATTTGTATTTAGGTCTTTCCAGTCCTGTCATTTACACAGTTCTGCAACATAGCACCACCTTGTCTGACAGGGCACAAAACCTGATTTTTTTCTCTGCTGCAGTTTAGTTAACAGTTACAGGTCTTAAGGTGCCCATACACTATACGATTATCGTACGATAATCGCTGGAAATCCCGTGATTGTACGATAATCGCAAAGTGTATGGAAGGCGTGCGACCGTTTCTATTGTACGATCGCATGTCTTCCGTCGAACAAGCAGGCTGGAAAACCCGCCGAGAATCGTACGATACTCGGCGGGTTAGTGGCGTGCTTGTTCGACAACTGCCGAACGGGCCAGTGTGCCTGTTCAGCATTGCAGTCATCGGAAGCCCGCCCCTCAGCGGGGCGGAATTGCGATGATCGCAAGTACGATCTGCCTGTCCAAGATGGTCAGATCGTATGTTTTTAAAATTACTTTACAACCCTTTTGTCTTGCGAGGGTTGTACAGTGTATGGCCACCTTTATTCCTCCACCAGCCTGAGACCAGGTACCTGCAGACTAATGAGCGTATCTCTCTGTCACTCTTTTCTGTTCTCCTAGCAGCATACCCCTTGTTAGCAAACGAGCACCGCAGCAGGAAATGGGGCAGTGGAGTTGAGATCAATATTAGACCAGGACAGCAAAGCTTAAATCAAAGTAGAACTAAAGCCAAAACTTTTTTTGGTGTAGTTAGAGTGGAGGATTACAAAATCTGTCAGGTTTTGTATTGCTGTCTTTGTCCCCCATTAGGAAGATCGACTCTCTCTATTTGTCCTGGTGACCTAAAAGTGAAAGTGAAAGAACATCACAAATCTTGAGTAGTCACTAGAACAGTCATAGAGGGGAAATCTTCAAAAGGGGACGAACAGAGTGATCACCTGCCCAACAGTAAAAGTAAAGTTCTGCCCAGCAATGGGGAAATGTGTGATTAGGGAAGTAACCAATGTTAATGCATGCTCTCATTAACACCAACAATTTGGGTATATTTTGCTTGCACTGAAGCTAATGCTAAAAAGCTAATTTTATCCCACTGACGCCAACGATGGGTCTATTTTATTCCCCTTTAACACGGGGGTTGCTGCCAATGTAAATATTACTCAAAGGCAGTTCGAAATTCCAAATTGGCCTTGCACTGATCTGAAATGTTACCATACCATACTGTACTTGACTTAATTCTGAGTCTAAAGTCCCCTTACACTAACTCTATAAGATATATTCACCAATTATTTCAACCATAATCCCAGTATATTGGCAGCATTAGAATGGCTTTCAAGACAAATTAATGAGGCCTGTGGCTATAATGTTCATCAATGTGGCTACCCCCCACACTGCAAGGGTTAATGTTTTTTTATTTTGGTGTTGGTCTAAAATAAAAAAGATATATAAATCAGAACCTCGGTCCTGCCTGGCTGCTAGACTGGTCGGTCCTCAGTCCTAGATCCCGGGCTCTCGTGGCCTAAATACCGCTGACGTCTTCACATCTAATATAAGTCCATTGACTTGCATTGGACGTGAGGATGCTGAGGGACATTCCACCACTGGAGCGGAGTGAGAGAGAGGTGAGCGGGCAACACAGTGGGGCCGAGAATCAGGGGAGTGTATCTTCTTTATTTTAGTTCTAGACGAAAATGAGCATTTAACCCTTGCAGTGTGGGGGTTGTCCCAGTGCAAAGGTGTGGTCCAAACCTACAGGACTGTGAAGTCATATTTAGACTCTGCGCAACTGCTAAAACAGGATAATAGAGGCGAGAGTAAGAAAAAACTTAATGTTAGTACAAATCCTGACTATATATTTATTTCTGAGAATTTAGCTGGATTTTTATGCACTCATGATGCAGCATATACTAATCTTTTTTTTATCTTTAATTAAAACTTGATCTATTGAATACTATGGACTCCCCATCTCTTTGCTTTTTGCCTGTCCTGGAAATCACAGTAGAATACCCGACATTTGGTGTGAACTAAAAAGTAGTACCTGTGTGTTTTACATATTGCTGCAGTTATTTGCATTATGGGGGGGAAAAAATGAGAAACCCTTATAATGATGTTATTATATTTTATATCTGTTGGAACAATGTATGCACTAGTAATGTGTTCATGTTTGTCTCTTACAAGACGCAGAGTTTGAGCTCTGATTGTGGATCTGGATGTGTGAATGAGAATGGGGTCTGTTTCTGCACCATCATCCTCCCAGATACCATCTTCCCGGTTAAGCGATTTGAGAAGCTGGAGATAGCAAACCGCAACCTGACAATCACTGTGGAGAAGGAAATGACTAAGGTATACATGCCGTATCTCCTATATACAATATAAGTTGGGGCTATAGATTTAAAATTCTGGAAAGTACACAGCAGTTCTTAAAATCGGACATTTTCAGCCCAATTCATATTTTGCCCTAAAGAGAAAGTTGAATTTATTTCAACAAGAACATATTGTTTGACTGAAAGCAGTTTTTTTAATCAGAATTTAAAATTAAATGTTTTGTTTTATATACAGTATTTCATATACACGCCGATTCCCCATCTAATGGTTTCCTGCTAAATACCTGATGGGTGAAAAGTGACTTTTAGGATGAGCTAAACTGATGAGTCTGCATTAGTTTTTTTAAACATTAAAGTAATAATAAACTCTAACTCTTTTTTTTCAATAATAAATCCAGATCAAATAAATACACATTGCCCAGCAAAGTATTACTTAATCTTTTTTCCAAAGACTTTCAGTCATCATGTTTCCAAACAGCTCCAACTCCCTCAGCTCTGCTTC